GAGGAGAGAAAAGGAGAGAGAGAAGAGAGAGAGAGAGAGAGAGAGAGAGAGAGAGAGATTTGTATTTTAGGGGACCTGGGTTTGCTTCTAATCACCATATGGTGTCATGGCTATCTGTGACTCCAGTTCTAGAGGATCTGACCTGTCTTCTGACCTCTCTGGGCACCAGGCATGCACTTGGTACACACACAGACAGAGAGGCAAGCAGGCAAAACACTCATATATAATTAAACAAAACTGAAAATGTATTTTATTTATGTGTGCATGTTCAGCCTATGTGTGGGTGTATGCAGGTGTCCATGGAGGCCAGAGGTGCTGAGAACTATATTTGGGTTCCTAGGAAAGTAGGATATGTTTTTGGTTTTTTTCTGAGACAGTGTTTCTTTTTGTAGCCTTGGCTGTCCTGGAACTGTCTCTGTAGACCAGGCAGGCCCCTGCCTCCTGAGTGCTTGGATTAAAGGTGTGCACCATCATATCTAGCAATAGGATGTATTCTTTTTTCTTTCTTTCTTTTCTTTTTTTTGTTTTCTGTAACAAGTTTTCTTTATATAACAGTCCTGGCAGTCCTGGAACTTGCTCTGTAGTCCAGGCTGGCCTCGAACTCAGATATCTGCCTGCCTCTGATTCCTGAGTGCTGTGATTAAAGGCATGAACCACAACCGCCCAGCCAGGATGTGTTCTTAACTGCTGAGCCATCTAATCTCTCCTACTCTCATTAGAAAGAGATAGGGTCTCACTGTGTAGCCCTAGCTGGCATGGAATTCTACCAGGCTAGCCTCAAATTCATAGAGACGTGTCTGTCACTGCCTCCTGAGTGTTTGGATTAAAGGTGTGTGCTACCATGCCCTGTACATAAGATATTTTTGAGAAAAATATTCATCTCATAAACTTTTCATAAAACCAAAAGGAATCCATGTTGTAAGAGCTTTCTGGGTGTCTGGTTTTATTTTGTTTGAGACTATGTTTCATTTTCTCAAGGCTGGACTAGAATTTGTTATGTAGCAGGGGTGATTTTCTTCTCCTGTTCCTCCTCCCTCCACCCCTTAAGTTCTGAAATTGCAGGTGTGTGCATCACCCATGTATTTTAAACTTTATTTTTTTGTACATTGGTGTTTTGCCTGCATGTATGTCTGTGTGAGGGTGTTAGGTCCTCTGAAACTGGAGTTACAGACAGTTGTGAGCTGCCATGGGGGTGCTGGGAACTGAACCTGGGCCCTCTGGAAGAGCAGCCAATTTTCTCAATCTCTGTAGCCCCCATCACCCTGTTTTTTATGAGGTGCCAAGGTTTGACCATGCTAGGCAAACACTCTATCACCTGGTTACACTCGCAGATCTGGGGATGGAGTATTTTTTTTTTTTAAGATTTATTTATTATGTATAGTTTTCTGCCTGCATATACACCTGCTGGCCAGAAGAGGGTACCAGGTCTCATTACAGATGGTTGTGAGCCACCATGAGGTTTCTGGGAATTGAACTCAGGACCTCTGGAAGAACAGTCAGTACTCTTAACCTCTGAGCCATCTCTCCAGCCCCGAGTATTAATTTTTTTAAGCATATGGAAGGGTCCTAAGACCAAAAAACGGTTGTAATTAACCACATGAACTGAATCAAATAGCTGGCATCTCTGTGTTTTCCTGGTGCAGAGGGGAGAGCCAACGAAGAATGGCAAAAGAGAAAGGACATTTTGCACATGAGTCCAGTCACTATGTTTCCTCCCAGTGCGCACCACAGAGGTATTTTTCTGGTGTCATTAAGTCATGTAAAGATATCGAGAAATTTACCACATCACATCTATATCCAAATAACCACAGATATATTCATGGGTGCATAACAAAAGTTAGCTGAAAGACCAAGTTAAATTTAAGATCAGATGAACTAGATGAACTGGCTTCAAAGCCATGCTTTAGGAAGTACCACTGAAGTCACAGAGGAAACAGCGTTCTGAACCTCTTGTCCACAAGGGGGCGCCAGAGGCAAAGAGGAGTTGTCATTAGAAGGTTAATTCTGCAGAATGCTTTTGGGATGGAGAAGGTAATATAGGACGGAGCTGAGAGGGTGCCTGACTTTCCTCAAGAGATTCTGTTCATTCATTTGTTTGTTTTTATTTTGTTTTGTGTTGTTTATGTTTTGTGACCTGGGGATAGAACCTAGGGCTTCAGGCACACCAGACAAGTTGCTCTACCTATGGGTATAATATATGTGCTTAGCTCAGGAACCTACATTTAACCTGTGTGTGTGTGTGTGTGTGTGTGTGTGTGTGTGTGTGTGTGTAGAGGCCAGAGGTCACTGCTGAATGTCTTCCTCTGTTGCTGTCCACCGTAATTTTTTTGAGACAAGGTCTCTCATGGTACCTGGAGCTTGCTAATTTGGCTAAACTGGTGGGTGGGACATGCCCCAGGGTCCCTTTGTCACTCTGCCAGTACCGAGGAGAGGTGACAAATGCACAGAGCCCTCACACTTCTAAAGCAAAGACCTTTTTTGTTGTTTCTAAACTAAATAAAATACTAACACACCCAAAGTTGTGTGCAGCACCTTGCACCTGTTGTTTGGGCCCTGGGGATTCTGAGGCCCGAGTTCAAGGCTAGCCTGGACAACATACTAGAGCCCCAATCTCAAAACAGTAAAAGACAGACACCAGGTCTCATTCTGGGATTTGTTTTTGTAGTGCTGGGGATCAAACTTAGGTCCTTGCACTTGCCGGGCACGCAGTCCACCACTGAGCCACACCCTGGCACAAAAGGTTGTGTTGGTGAAAAAGTTCCCCCATGCTGCGGCTGCTGCGGTACAGCACAGCTGAACAGTTGTAGCTGTTGGTCTCTACATCTGCCAAATGGGAGCTCCACTGTCTCCATTCCTCAGACGGTGTTTCTGGCTCGTGGCGAGCAAGTGATGATGTCACATTCCACCCACCCCAGGTCACTCTGGGTCTCCCCGTGCAAGGAGCCCACACCTTGGGGAACTCACTGATCTCTGTTGGGGGCTTTCCTGAGCTGGTCGGCCGTGACCCTCCAGGAGAAGTTGAAAAAGCGCATGGCGTTCTCAAAGTAGAGATCGGGAACTGCGGTGTACTGGGGAAGCAAAGCAGAATCAGAGATCAGAGCATGTCCAGGAACCGAGGCCCCACCCCCGCAGCCAAGCGATTGGTCTACAGGCCGGCAAGGACGCTCAGGGCTGCAGGCTTACAGTCTCCGTTGGCCTTGACCTTCCTCTTCAAAAACACTAAAAGCATCGCCCAGGGATGCCCGAGAGCGTCATGGTGAGGTGAGATGCCCTGCTGCAGCATTTGGGACTTCGCTGGAATATGCCCAGCACTGACAGACATAGCTATCCTATGCCTGTCCTAGCCAATAAGGCAAACACTAGCTATGAAGCATTTTACATGTGCTTTGTGTGGCTCTTGCATTTTAATTTAATTGGGCTGGGGTGTAGCTCAACTGGTAGACTGTTTGTCTAGCATGAACGAAGCTGGGGGTGGGGCTGCATTCAATCCCCAGCATTCATAAACTGGAATGGTGGTGCATGCCTGTGATCCCAGCACCTGAGAGGCAGAGGCGGGAGGATCAGAAGTTGAAGGTGAGCCTTGGCCACAAAGAGTTCAAGGCTAGCCCGGGCTACATAAGACCCTGGCTCTGAGTCAGTAAATAAAATAATTAATTTAATTAAATAGGTCCCTGTGAACAGCACAGACCTAATGCCTGGAGCTAAACTCTATCTCAGAAGTGGGGGAGGGGCACACACCCTCAGATACCCCTCAACACCCACTCAGCTGTACCCTCAACACGAAGCCTGGATTATCTGTCCCAGAGAAATGCAGAGTTCATGCTTAGATACATTCTAGATCTTCCTAGCTAAGGGAAACAGCTGAGGAGTCAGGTCCCAGGTGCAGCACTTGGAGGCCTCCAGAAGTCCTTGGCTCTGACATCCTGATACCTACCAGAGAGCACTTGAAATGATTCTCAAGGAATCCAGCTGCAGACAGAGCCTCAGCCTCAGAGGGAATTTTAACAGATTTGGGTTTTAAATATAACCACAAGGTGAGGCTACTGTCATGTCAAAAGTGCCCCAACTGACAACTCTCAATCCTGAGAACATGGAAGACCCAATCCAGTGGCTCAAACCGAAGTCCGCTCAAAGCGGTTGACTGGCTGACGGCTCCAAGTGGCAGGGATGACAATTACCCCTTGCTGCCTAAACTAAGCTTTAAAATATCCCTGGGGTGTATGCTTCCTCTTTCCTTTAGCGTTTCAAGGTCAAAACCAAAAGTCTGAGGAAGGAAGAAAGGACCCAGGCAGGGGCAGGAGGATGTCTGCGAGCAGCAGGGGGTGAGGGCTCACTGTTTCTCATTGTGCCTTTGAAGATCTGCTTTCTTTCTTCATTTCTTCCAAGTAATCATTTTAAAAATTCCTATGTGTGTGTGTGTATGTGTGTGTACGTACACACGTGTGTGTGCAAGGGTGCCCACACACAGGTGAGAAGCAGTCAGATCCCCTGGAGCTGGAGTTGCAGGCAATTATGAGCTGCCCAACATGGGTGCTAAGAAGTCAACCCAGGTCCTCTGCAAGAGCAGTGTGGGCTCTTAACCACCAAGCCAGCTCTCCAGCACTTCCCTTACTCTTTTCATTTGTTTGTTTGAGATAGGGTCTACCCTATAGTCCAGGCTGGACTTGAACTTGCCAGGTAGCCAAACATGACCTTGAACCCTGGCTCCTGCTACCCCAGCTTTTGGAGCGCTAGGATCGGAGACCTGTGTCACCATGTCTGTTTATTCCCCCATTCTTTTTTTTCTGTTTTGTGATGTTGGAGATGGAAACTATGGTCTCACATGCTCTAAGTACATGCTCTACCACTGAGCTACCCTGTCTTAGACATTTTCCCATTACTTCCCACTCACTTCCTGGAGCTGGCCATTTCTAGGGGTGGCACACAGCTTGTGTTCCGGTAACAACCACTGAGCAATGGCTGATGGTGGCTCTGGGGAGACAGGGACCCCCACTGACCCAGGACACAAAGGAACAGGGAAAGCCATCCTCATGCCCACATCTCCAAGCCCCACCCCAGGTCACTTTGATGTAGACTGATAACCATGTTATCCCCAGCATCTAAATCAGACCAACCCTGGCCTTTTCTCACATGGGCATCAGGGAGTTTAAGGAGCAGGTGGAAGCCACTTACATCATTGAACACTTTGTCCAGCTCCTTAGGGTCCATGATGAAGTTGGGGTAGCCTATCATGTTGTAGATGGCATCGGCCTGCACAGAAAGGATGGAGTGACAGAGTGCCAGGTAACGCCGGCCAAGCCTGCCCCAGCTCTGTGGTCCAGGCTCAGGGTCTGTGCCGAGGAGAGCCAGGACTAGCCTCCTGCCTCCTTAGGGCCTCTCCGTCTTTTCCTGGAAAGAGTCTGGTAAATGCTGATGAAATGACACTTCCCCCAAGAGAGCCATTATGGCTTGGATGTGTGCCCCCAAAGTCTATGCACTGTAACTGAACCCCATGGGGAACAGTGCTGAGAGGAGAGGCGGTTATGTCACACAGCCTTCCTTGGCCCTCATGAAGGGCATCCATGGTTGCAGGAATGAGCGGGCAGAGAGGGCTAACCACCACAGGAGCTGGTTCTTATGGAAGGGTTGGTCCGGTCCCTCTATGGAGTGCATGTTCCTTGCCCTTCCCCCTTCTGCTATGAGAGGTCTCCTGATATCATGCCCTTGTGGGCTTCAGGATGTCGAGAGTCTGGATAAGCTCACAGGGCACAATGGCATCCATACACATCTTCACGGGACAGAACTTCTCCCTCACCGAAGGCTCTGCTTCTGTACTGGCAGCCCGGTGCCCGCTGAACTCCCAGGCAGCCTCACCTTTTCTTTGGCCGATCTCCTGGTGTCTTCGTCCATCCACTTCAGGGTATTCAGGCTCTCCTCAAATGCCTTCTTGATCTCTGAGATTATCTCACTGGCCTGAGGGGACAGATGCCATACCAGTAAGGGCTGGGCTGACATCACCTAAACTTAAAGAAGCTAACCTCCGGTGCCGGGTCAGGGAGAAACCAAGTTTCCCATTGGTCCTCTCCTGACAGCATCCAGCAAGGCAAGACTGGCCTCCCACTGTCAGGACGGGTCAAGTAAGATGAGGCAGGCTTTAGGGAAGTTGGGAAAGCTTCCGTGGCAGGACTTTTCAGAGCCTCTGTCACGAACCAGTGCACTGAGATTCCTTCAGAGAAGGAAGTAGTCTCTCCCACACTGACCGGAGCAAAGAGATCATTTTTAATGGAATGAGCTTTGAAATCTAGAGAACGTGCTTCTGACGGACAGTTTCAAAAAGGTTGCGACTACTCCGGAGAACAACAGCTCTGGAAGGTAACTGTGTCATAGCCAGACCTGGAGGCCAAAGGCAGGTGGAAGATTCCAGAGAACAGTGAGTGGCACTAGCCAGCAGCAGGGGTGGTGGCATTGAAGGCGGAGAGCCCTTGACTCCGAATGGAGTCTGTCTGTTAATGGCCGACTGACATACTATCTGTGCAGTTGGCACTGTTAGCAACAAGGGCTGGGGATGTGGCTCAGTCGGTAGAATGCTTGCCTAGCACGCACTGGATTCAAACCCTATGCCCCTAAGCACAGGAAGCACTTACAATGTTTTTGCTGTCCTCAGCAAAGGTGGCTTTCACAAACATGGGGCCCAGGGCAAAGCCCAGGTTGTTTTCCGTGTCACTCACGCAAAACTTCCAGCGGGGGAGGCAGGTCTGGAAAACACACATGTGAGTGTCAGTGGGCTCAGCCCTCTTTCTCCCAGCCCCTTCTATGTGGGAAATGGTGCCACCAGGGGCTTGTACTTTCTTTTGGGGCTTCAGAGAGAGACCCAGTGGGGGCTACTCCAGGCACTGAACCAGGAAGACACAGGACTGGGGGTCCCAGGACTCGGGGTACAGCTCAGTGGTAGAGTGCTTGCCTGGTATGAATGAAACTGGAGATTCTATCACCAGTACTTAAGTGGAAAAAAAAAGATATGACAGCCTGGAATTGGTGACCCCTGCATGTGTTAGAGATCAGCCTGGTCCACAAAGTGTGTTCCAAGCCAGCCAGAGTTACAGAGTGGAACCCTGTATCAAACACCACACACACACACACACGCACGCACGCACGCACGCACGCACGCACGCACGCACGCACACACACACACACTGCTGCTGCTGCAGGGTCCTCCTCACCTTGGAGAGGGGGCAGTAACAACCCTTCACATTCTGGATTCGTATCATCCCCAGGTTGCACACAATGCAACACCCATCGTAGAGAAATGGATAGTCAAAATGGGGTTTTGTTTTTTCTGATTTTTTTTATTTGTTTGTTTTGTTTTTTCGAGACAGGGTTTCTCTGTAGGTTTGGAGACTCTCTTTGAAAACCAGACTGGCCTCAAAGTCACAGAGATCCGCCTGCCTTTGCCTCCTGAGTGCTCAAAGGCATGAGCCACCAATGCCCGACTCAAAATGGGTTTCATACAGCAATGTGTGGATAATCAAAGTACAGAGGGTTTTTTATTTGTTTATTTATTTATTTTTGAGACAGGGTTTCTCTGTGTAGCCCTGAGGGTTCTGGAACTCACTCTGTAGACTAGGCTGGCCTCAAACTCACAGAGATCTTCCTGCTTCTGTCTCCCGAGTGCCAGCATTAAAGGTGTGTACCACACCACCTGTCCAAAATACAGGGTTTTCACACCCAATATGCCAGTTGTCACAGCAGGGACAGACTGTCAAGGACCCAGCTGTATGGATGAGGCCTACACGTTTACCCTGAGAACAAGAAGCTGACATAGTGGGCATGTGAGTGCCTCATCCAGGCTCTTCCTGCCAGGCTGTTAGCTCAAACGTCCTGGGAGTATTTTCTACTTTGACTGGGGTGGTGAGTACCTGAGTGATGTCATTAGTGAAAAGTCACTGAACCAGTTACAGCATGCTGTGTCATTTTTAAAGTTCCTAAAAGGAAGTTTTGTGTGTGTATTCACACGTGAGTGTGGGCATGCAACAGCGAGGGTGTGGAGGTCAGGGGTTGGGCACTCGTCTTCACTTTCTATTTTCAGGCAGGGTCTCTGTTGTTCCACCAGGTTTGCTGGCCACAAACATCTGCCGATTCCCCTCTCTCTGGCTACGATCTCTCTGTAGGAGTGCTGGGATTACAGATGCATATAACAGCATTTGGCTTCTTTGTAGGTTCTGATTGTTTGAACTTAGGTCCTCATGCTTGTATTGCCAACTTTTTACCCACCGAGACATCTCTCTAACCCTATTTATCTCAACTGTATGTAGATTTTTATCTTACAGGATTTTTAGGGCAAGAAAGAAGGAAATTGGGTACATGCTGGTGCATGTAATCCCAGCACTTGGGAGGTGGAGGCCAGCCAGGGCTACATGAGACTCTCTGTCTCAAGAAAAGACAAAGAGGGCAGGTGAAATGGCTCAGTGGCTAAAAGGGCTTGCTGCACAAGTCTGACGACCTGAGTTGAATTCTCAGAACCCATGGTAGAAGGAGAGAACTGACTTCTGCAAATTGTCCTCTGACCTCCACACACACCATTGTATGCATCCACACATACATCACACACACACAATAATAAATAAAAGAAAACTTAGAGAAGAAAATAGTGGCCCCCACTCCCAGGCTTGTGAGAATCGCATACCACACAAGGGAAGCAGCCATCACTAGAGTGAAGGGCCTGAAGGAAGAGTCTACAGTCCACCTCTGCTGTCAATCAGTTTAGTTGCTAAGATACCTCTTTGCTCTTTGTCTCAGCATCTTTACCTCCTTCCAGACGCTCCTGCCCACTTTCTGTTGGCTCTGGTTCCCTCCTGTGTTCCCATGGACAGCAGCTGCCCACCCCCCCTTCAGTGGCTCTCTTCATTCTCTTTCCTTAGGAGACCCACAGCCATAGTTGCAACAGAACCATAGTCTCCCAAGGACCCCACCCCCCACACAGACACACACCCACCTTCTTGGTTCCGTACATGACCTCCATGAATTTCTCATCGGCATCCTGAAAGCGCTGATCCAGGAAGGAGCTCGTTTTCCGAACCAGGTTCCACATCATGTAGTTGTTGAGCAGGCTGTGGTGACAGAACCGGGGAGAGCTCAGAGACCCCTGGGCAGCCTTTCCAACTCAGTTTCTGACGTAGGCTCTTCTCTAGTCTGCCCACACGGATGCTTACCACCCTCTAAGCACAGGGAACATAAGCTCTTCAAGGGAAAGCCTAGCTTTTCCAGCCACAGAAAAGCCCTGATGTATAATGCAGTCACTTGTATGCAGCTGGTACTCAATAAATGCCACTTCTTGATTATATTACTCCATCCCAGCTAGAAGGAGCCAGACTCAAGGTTCCATGATTGGCAGCTCCCTCTGACCCATCTCCAGGGTACAGGAAACCTACCACGCTTTAAAAGAAGTCACCTTAGCACAAAGATGTCTGTTTAACCTAGACACCTGACAAATATATGTATCCAAACAAATATATGTATACGATGGACTACTATGCAGCCAGGGAAACGTTTGCAGAGAGCTAGGATGTTGTGTGGGAAGACGATAAAGGCCATGGGTAAAGCATCTGGTCCTGATGAGGGAGGAATACCATCTATCAGGAAACCTCTCTTTCTCCATGTGCACACAGGAACACATAGACACACATCCTGGGAGCTCCTCTTTCCCCCTATACCTTCCAACATTTGTCATTAAAATCTAAAAAGTGTCACTGACTATAAACAGTATCTAGTCGTTACTGGGCCTCAGTACGTGTCAGCACTACCTTCCCTTAGTTCTCCTATCTCTCCACAGCCTGACTCTATAGGTGGGAGAGGGACTCTGGGGAACATGAGACTCGCCCCAAAGTTACAAAGCTATGAGAGGAGGAGCTGGGATTCAAATCCGCGATCATAACCAGGAGCCTCACACAGAAGCCTATCCAGGGCCCCTTTTCTGAGTCCCCATGTCACCTGTCCCCACCATGCCTGAGGGCAGGGCTGCCAGCCAGGGAGCTGTCCCAGACCACCTTGTCCCTTCTGCACCCTTACCATTTATCGGTGTTGTTGATGAGAGTGGAGACTTGTCCCAGGTATTCCTTGTCGTAGACCACGATGGGCTCAGACTCATTGATCTCCACCGGGTAAAAGATGGTGTTGAGAAAGGGCAACCAGTTGATGGCGGGTGCCAAGGTCTGCAAGGGAAGAGGGTAGTGTGAGGGTGGCCAGGCCATGCCCCCTCCTCAGCCCAGGTCTCCTGGCCATTCCTCAGAAGAAGGCATCATCAAGTTCTGACTAACGGCAGAGTAAGATGCTGTCTGCCAGGGCGCATGGCAGAGCCAGGGCTGGCTGTCCGGTTTCTGTCTGAAGCAGTCTAAGGGGGCAGGTGACAAGACCTCATCTGAGGGGCTGTCAAAGTGACTTGGTGTTTAAGAGTGCTTGTTGTTGTTGTTGTCTGCGAGAACCAAACTCAAGTTTGGTACCTGGCACCCATGTCAGGAGACTCACAACGACCTGTCTCTCCAGTCCCGGGAGATCCAACACCTTCCTCTGGTGTCTGCAGGTCCCTGCATATGCGTGCATATACCCAGCATATAAATAAAAATAAAAAGAGACCTCACTTGAAACCAGCACTAAGGAGGCTGATGCAGGTGGATCTCTGTGTGTTTGAGACCAGCCTGGTCTACAGAGCAAGTTCTAGGCCAGCCTGGGCTACATGGTGAGACCCTGTCTCAAAATAATTAAATAGTTAAAAAAAAAAAAAAACGGGGATAGCTGGGAGGTGGTGGCACATGTCTTTAATCCCAGCATTCAGGAGTCTGAGGCAGGCAGATCTCTGTGAGTTCCAGGCCAGCCGGGTCTACAGAGTAAATTCTAGGACAGCCAAGGCTACACAAAAAAACCCTATCTTGAAAAACAAAAACAAAAAACAAACAAAAAAAGGAGAGGTGTAATTTTGCCTTCCCCGTGGGTTCTCATGAGGACCAGCCAGGGCCACGAGAAATAATCCATATGAATCTTTTCCAATGCACGCGCCATGCATGTGGGGCTTGGTGGGTGATGCCTCTCTGTCTTCCCTCAGTTTGTTGCAGTTCCAATTCACAAAATAACAAGAACCTCATATGGCCTACTGGGATTGAAGGCATGCACCCAGGTCTGGTTATCCCCATTTTAAAACTTAGATGTATGCATTTGTTTATGTGTGTACACCACAGAACTTGAAGTATGCATTTGTATATGTGTGTATGTGTGTACTCCACAGAACTTGAGGGAGTCGGTTCTCTCCTTCCACTATGTGGAAGCCGTGGATTGAGCTCAGGCGGTCAGCTTGGCCCAGGCTCCCTTTACCTGCTGAGCCATCTCACCAGCCCTGTATCATCATCTCAGTTTTTCCCCCAACAAAGTACCATTATGCAAACCAGGCTGGCCTTGAACTTGTAGTGATCCTCCTGCCTCTGCCTCCTCCTAAGCATGACTGAGTCCCGTCGAGTGGCATTAGCCATTCACTGTTTTGCCACCATCACCGGGTCCCCCACCCAGCCTCAGGTTCCCAGCATCTTGCCAGGCTGAAGAATTCTACTCCCAACTTCCCAAGTCCCCAGAAGGTGGAACCCTATTTTCCATCTCTATTGATACCAAGAACCTCAGCTAAGTGAAGACAAAGGCAGTCTCTGTTCTTGTAATGTTTTTTCTTCTGATGCTTGAACTCAGGGCTTTGCACACGCAAGGCCAGTGCTCTTATACTGAGTTGCCCCCCCCCATTCCCCAGCCCCAAAGTCTGCCCTTTTGTAGCTGGCTGATTTCACTTAACACAGCGTCCCTGAGCAGAGTTGCACAACTTTGGAACGGTCAGCCCCAGCCCCATGTCACCCACATGTCCTGTTATTTTTAGTGTGCCACTTTTCAGAACGTGAGGTCTTTCAGGGCTATGGAGACTGTGGTTTAGCATAAATGATCATCTGCAGCAATGCATCATGGATACCTGGCTCTAAGCAAGCCAGCCATCAATGGCAGCCATGCCAATCATTGTTCAAGTTCTGCCCTGAGCAGACCTGGCCCTGAGAAATTTCAAATTCTGCTCTCATTTTCCTTGAAGAAACAGAAAATTTCAGGCAAGTAAAGGCAGCAAGCGAGTGACACCTACGCTGTAAAAGCCCCTCACATGGGAAAAACCAGGTAATGTTATGAAGTCTACCTGTAACGTCAGAGCAGCACACAGCCTGTCCTTAGCCCTAAGACCCTCTGCTTAACAGGCACCGGGAAAGGTGACTTTCCTGAGGTCTCATGTCAGCTGGAGCCTGTGTAGGTCTACAAAGCGGGTTCAGTCACTGCTGGGTTTATTTGCTTGTTGGTGGTGTTAGGGAATGAACTTGGCCTCCCACAGGCTAAACTGGTGAACACCTCTAGAACACAGCTTCTGGGCTTCAAAGGGCATTTCAACTATTGTAGTAGAGAGAGCTGGAAGGACAGGCGTGAAGCTGAAGGTGTGTCTGGCTCCCAAAGATATTGGTGAACTGGTTGGTGCTACCAGCCAGCTCCCAGCAAGGGGCTGATTTGTGCCATTGATGGCTACTGTACTGGGCTGGAAACTGAACAGCACAGTGGGCAGGGAGCCAGTGTGCCACAATACATCCCTGCTGCAAGGGAGATGTGAGCTGGGGGTGAGCAGAGCTGATGGAGTCCCCAGCAGGAACCAGCTCAAGGATTCAGTGCCACTTTGCAGCCTTTCTGTAACATGGAGACAACCCCCTCAGCTCCCAGAGCTGCCTGCACTGTCCTCTGGAAACGGCCTGCCCTGTTCCATGCATCCTTGTCTCCTGGCTCGTCCTCCTGGCAGAGCCTCTGGCTCTGGGTGGCTAGGGGCTTGAGAGATGCACTCGTGAGATCTTCAAGTAGGGCTCAGTCATTACAGCCACCTGATGGCAGGATCCTCTGGCAAAGACCCGGGGAAACGGATACATTTACAAATGTCACTGCTCACGGAATCTGTGAGAACCACGTGTTACTGGAACTCTCTGACAGAGATATTGATGGTGAAAATCATCTCGGACTCTACACAACCTGCCCCTGTAGGGCGAGCAGATGTTCCCACCGGGAAGTGCCCTGGCTCTGAACTTTGGAGCCATGTGTGAACACTAGGATATTCGAATTTCCAGCCTAGATCGCTTCAGTAATTCCTAACTTAAATGTTTCCATGGAGATGGCTGTTTTAGTCAACTGGGACATCCTGCTGTGATTCAGTCCCCCTGAGGACACCGATGAGCTCTGTTTTCCACACGTGAAGCCAAGGAGTCCTGCTGAGTACCAACCAAAGAGGCTTAGAGAGTAAGAGAGACCAGCAGAGTGGCATACATCTACAGTCCTGGCACTGGGAAGGCAGACAGGAGGTTCATGAGTTTGAGGCTAGCCTGTACTGTAGAGGACCCTGTCATAAGATCCCCAAGGCTAGGGTGTGATATGGACATCTCATTTATGCCTTCATTTGTGCAGAGGCAACATGGTGTCTTCTGGGACACGACAGGACACTCATGAACTCACAGTAGCTGTGGCTGCCCTCACACGATCAACACAGTCAGCATTCCAGTGTGGAGTGAGAGGGTCTCCCAAGCCCCACCCCCAGCCGGGGAGCTGCTGACAGCTGATGGCTCTTGGAAGAGGGAGGCAGCTGTCTTTAAGGGTGGACATGCTTCAGTGGATACCCCTCACCCATGAGGACATGGGCAGCACAAACTGGACTTGGCAGATTATTAAAAAAAAAAAAGGACATGAATTCGGGAGTGGGTGTGGGTGGGATCTAGGAGGAATTAGGTAGAGGAGAGAGTGAATTTCATAAAAATACATTCTATAGCTGGGCGTGGTGGCACGTGACTGTAAGCTCAGTACTTGGGAGGCAGAAACAGGTGATATCTGTGAATTTAAAGCCAGCCTGGTCTACATTGCAAGTTCCAGGTTATATAGTTTGAGGCCAGCCTGTGGTACACACACAAACACACACACATACTCACACACACACACACACACACACACACACACACACACACACACACACACACCACAGCGCCTTTGCTATAGGGCCAGCCTCTGACTACATACTACATAACACACACACACACACACACACACACACACACACACACACACACACACACACACACACATATATGGAGAGATGTCTCAGTGGGTAACAGCACATACCACTTTTGCAGAAGACCCAAGTTCAGTTGATAGCACCCATGTCAGGTGGCTCACAACTGTCCATAACTCCACCTCTGGGGGGAGGTTCCACACCCACTTCTGGACTCTGTGGCCACTTGCACTCATGTGTACATACAAGGAGACATACACATACACAGACAATTTAAAAATAATAAAAATAAATCTTTAAAAGACAAGCTAAGGCTGGGATGTGGCTCAGTGATAGAACAACTGCCTAGATGTGCAGGTTCAGTTACCAACACTGGAAACAAAATGGAAACAAAGAGAACAATTGATACTCTAAGACTCCTTCCCTAGTTGGGAAAACAGGCAGAGGAGGGAGTCTTGCCTCCAGAAACCTTGGACACAGAAGCTGCTCCGAAGGAATGGAAAGGTGTCTGGAGAAGCAATGTAGGATGTTTGACTCATGGTTCTGAATTCAGCTTCTACTCCAGGCTAGCCTGAAGCCATTTGGTACAGCAGCAGGGCTAGCTGAGAACCACATCATGAAGCCGGCGGTGCCTATATTTACCCAGAGTTTGAAAAGAAAGTAAGTCTTGGGGGCTGGAGAGATTGCTTAGTGGTTAAGAGCAGTGGCTGCTCTTTCAGAGGACCTGGGTTCTATTCCCAGCACCCACATGGCAGCTCACACTTGTTTGTAACTCCAGTTAGTTCCAGGGGACCTGGTATCCTTACACCAATGCATATTAAATAAAGTTTAAAAACAAAGAAAGTAAGTCTTCAGCTATCAGAGAAGATGCTCTGTGCTTAATTAATTGTAATTTTAGTGCCGGGGACCCAGGTAGCATCGCTAGTCACAAAGAACAACAGTCAGCATTGGACATGCTCACCTCTCTCTGCCTCCTCAAACCCATGGGTAGGTGGGTAGACAGGCCTATTCCAGCCTTATGGGGTTCAGGGTTTCCCCAAGATTAGAGATGTCTGCCCAATCCTCCTGGCTAACACCCCCAAGCAGCTGTTCTCCAAAGACCCGCAAGAGTTAAAGTGGAGAACCGCTGTCACCTAGCCAGGCAGGGACTGTGTCCCGTTTATTTTTGTGTTCTGACCCTGAGCAGGGCTCAGGGAATGGGCCATGAGCTACTTTACCAGCAAAGGATTGAGTCATGTGACTTGCCTCAGATCACACAGCTTGAGATGGAATAGGGCAGTGCCATGTTCTGACCCCAAGCCCAGACTAGAGCTTGTAGGCTGCTACCTCTGAAAAGACCGTCCCACCTGAGCATTGGGGAGCAGGCTATGTAGAACCAATCATTTCCCCCCTTTATTCTGTGGGAGAGTAGCCCAAAAGTAAGGGGGAGAGCCGGGCATTGGTGGCGCAGGCCTTTAATCCCAGCACTCGGGAGGCAGAGGCAGGCGGATCTCTGTGAGTTCGAGACCAGACTGGTCTACAAGAGCTAGATCCAGGATAGGCTCCAAAGCTACAGAGAAACCCTGTCTCAAAAAACAAAAAACAAACAAACAAACAAACAAAAACCAACAACAACAACAACAAAAAGTAAGGGGAAGAGAAGATTGGGTCCAGACTCCAGTGACCACTGGCTGACCACAGGCGTGCCCTATACCATTCCGGGCATCGATTTCAACATCAGACTACTATGAGGCCCCCTGGGTAAGACCTGCAGGGCTGGAGCAAACCAAATTATGCCAAGCAAACAACATCTCCCTCAACCTTTTAGCCTCGGAGCGGAAAACAGTGCCAGATGGTGCCCAGCACAGACTACCTGTCTCCATAACAACCTGCTTGGCGCCACTTCCCCTGGGAACCTGCAGGCAGCTGGCAGCCGTGGGAGTGGGCTATGGCTCCACCTGGGACTCTTACAGACTGGCTTAAGTGTGCCAATCATTAAACATGAGTCCCTAGCCTTTCCTGCCCAGGTCAGGGCCCAGCATCTCTTTTCCCAAAGCTCTTAGCAGAGAGACACAGACTGTCTCCTGGGGAGCAGGCTAGCTGGGGGGCACAGGAGAGCAAACCCATGTGCACCGAAAGGAATAAAAGGGGGTAAAACATAGTGTACCATCTAAGGGAAAGGACAGATGGACAAAGCTGGCTGGGTCAGATGAGAGGACATGGTGGTGAAACTCTGGTTTCGTGAAACAGACATGGTGTCCTTCCTGGGGCAAGAGCAAGGTTCAGTCAACAATGTCACCTGATGGAAGTTCCTGTCCCCTGGGGCCTAAGACAAGGCTAGACAGCAAGACAGACCACAAAGTAGGAAACAGTGGACCACCAACTGAGGAGCCCTGAGGCCCAAGCAGCCACCAGGGGGCAGCGTAGGACAGGACCGACTAAAGAGGCCACAGCGGGCCTCTAGCTCTGGTCACCTCAGAGAAAGTACAGGTCCAACCAGCAGTTAGAACTCAAGGGTGTGTCACAATCAAGAGTAGGGCTCTAGGGAGCCAAGCCTGAGTCCCCAGCCAGCTCTTCAGCCATGTAGCAGCCACCAAGCCCTAACCATGTTACTTGGCTGCCCAGCTCAGAAAAGGCTGGAGGTGTAGCTCAGTTGTTTAGAAGAGCAGAATGAGTTAGAAGGCCACCCAAGTCTGTTGCTATTTAGATAAGACATTCACTACCAAGACCAAAACATCTACAGTAGCCAAGTCTTAGACCTTTAAGGTTTTTGACTTACTAAGGACAGTTTTGAACTCTCTGACCTTGAGGCAAGATGAAACGAAGTCATCTTTACAGGCCCTGACAATTCCTCCCTCTAAATTTAATCAATACCTGGTTTTCTGTTACAAGACAGAGGACAGCCAGGGCTATAGAGACATAGTCGTACACACTTGGAATCCCAGCACTTAGATAGAGGCAGGAGGATCTGAAATTCAAGGTTATCCTTGGCTACCAGATGAGTTCAAAGCCAGCCTGTGACACATAATACCGTATCTCAAAACAATGAAGCAAAATAAGCTTTGTAGGAGTTTTTCATAAAAAAGAAAGGGGAAACACGATATCCCACAACTCTGCAGTGCTCCGTCACCAAGCATGGGACATACAGCACATGAAGGGTTGGAACCATTCTACCCGTGGAAGCTGTCATCACTACCACCGTCTCCGGGGAAACACCTCAGAAAGTAGTCTTGCCTTGGCATCCCTTCCTATCCTGTGGTCTTTACTGGGTAAGGTTCCCTCCCTGAGCAGATCAACACCCTCCTTCATCAGGTGACTTCAAGGATCTGGTAAGTGGGTCTGAGCACTGGTCCCCAGAGTCTCCACTGAAGCTCTGCCCCCAATACACGGGTACCCTTCAAATTACCTGTAGCTCAGGCGGATCTCTGTGAGTTCAAGACCAGCCTGGTCTACAAGAGCTAGTTCCAGGACAGCCTCCAAAGCCACAGAGAAACCCTGTCTCAAAAAAAAAAAAAAAAAAAAAAATACCTGCAGCTCGGCAGCCGTCACTTTGTGGTAGATGAGTTCCTCATCCCGGCGCTTCTCCTGGGGGATGGTGATATTGGCCAGCGCTGTCTCAAAGTCCAGGATCTGTTGCATCTGGGGCCGGATGGAGTCCTCATCCCCACCGCCCAGCAGCTTTCCCAACTGGACCATGTAGTTCAGGTATCCAGTCAGCACCTGTGGGATCCAGCACCCAAAACTGTTTGTGGCAGCCACCAGCTGTCCTGTGATATAGACCAGGCTGGTTTTGAACCCACAGAGATCCACCTGCCTCTCCTTCCCTAAGGTATATGTCTGGCTTGTTTTTCTACTTTTGAGACAAGGTTTTACTCCGTAGCCCAGGCTGGCCTGGAACGAATGGCAACCCTCCTGCTTCAGTCTCCCACATGCTGGGATTGCAGACATGTGTCACCAAGCCCAGCTTCTGAAACAGACTCAAGAATGATTCTGATGCTGCGTCTGTCCACTGTTTTCCCATAGCCCTTAGGCTTGAGCTAAAGTGCTTCCGCAGGTCCCAGAGTGGCCCAGGGGCCCAGCTGCCCTGGCTCTATTTCTCTGGGCTCATCCCAGAGTCAATTAAATTTTTATTTTTGTTTAATTTTTCACAGTGTGCGTGTGCGTGTGTGTGTGTGTGTGTGTGTGTGTGCGCGTGTGCGTGTGTGTATGATGTGTTGGAGGCTGCATGCACCATGTTGTGTGTATGGAGGCCAGAGGACAGCTTTTTGGACTCATTTCTCCCTTTCTACCTTTACGTGGCTTCTGGAGATTGAACTCATGTTGCCAGGTTTGTGTGGCAAGCCTCTCTGGCTGCTAAGCCATCTCACTGGCCCAATGAGCCTGCTCTGAGACACCTGCCGATGTCGTGACCCCTGATCTGAGTCAAGCCTCCAAATTACATTGCTTCAGCCATCTCTCCACTAACAGTGTGAGGCTGGGTGATCCATCAGTCAAGTGAGGTTCGCCTCATCTAGACCTTGCGGTCCCTGGGGACCACCTCCCCAGCATCGGCATTGAGCAGGTACAGGTGGAACATGCGTGTGAGCCTCAGGCCAGGCTCCCCCAAGGGTATCAGAGGCACAGAAGGTTCTGGAGGAGCTGGCTCTGAGTGTCCCTGAGTTAAAAGTGAGGTAAAAGTACCACCAGCTTGACAGCAGTGACGCTCACAAAAGTTCTAGTGCCTACAAAAGGTGGTGGCTGTCACCACTGTCCTGTCCTCTTTTTTGTTTTTGTTTTTTGTTTTTTGTTTTTTGTTTTGTTTTGTTTTTTGAGACAGGGTTTCTCTGTGTAGCTTTGGAGCCTATCCTGGCACTCGCTCAGGAGACCAGGCTGGCCTTGAACTCACAGAGATCCGCCTGCCTCTGCCTCCCGAGTGCTGGGATTAAAGGCGCGCGCCACCAATGCCCGGCCACCACTGTCCTCTTTAGAGAAGGATAAATGATGCCCCTGTGCCTGCAATGCCTGACTGTGACGCTGGAGGTTTGGGGACACCCCTCCCCCTCCCCCTGCAACGGCTGCCTGCGAGCCTTCAGGAAACTGAGCCCTCCATAGAAGCCCAGTTGTGCTGTCATGCATACAGGGGCATCTGAGCAAGCTCACCTTCTCATTTTCCGTCTTGTTCAGGTAATAGTCCCTAGAGGGCAAGCCAAGGCCGGACTGGTCCACCTGCAGGAGGACACAGAGTGAGAGGGAAGCTCCTTGCTTGGCTACACCTTCCCTGGGGCAGGTTTCAGCAGGAACAAGAGGAGCTGATAACCATCACTGATACATCCACCTGGGGACTAGGGGTGAGACAGGTACATTCCCACCTATCTGCAGGGACTTGGGTTCTTCTGAAGGGCTAGACAAAAAAACCTCTTTAAACAACGCCTGGCCTAGGCAAAGCACACAATTTCACCAAACACTGTCCATGTAGTTCGAGCCACCCCAAGCTGTGTGATCATGGTGAAGTTACTAAACCTTTCTGATCCTTTGGCTCTTCCTCTAGAAAGTAAAGGAAATGGCAGCTACCCTGCAGAACTGGAATGGAAACTTGTGGAGACAATGGCGATAAAGAACCTTCTGAGAGTTGGGCAGGGAGGAGAGGAGCATTCTAGAGACCTGCCATGGAAGCCTTCTGATTCCATCTTGGCATACCTCATCTCAGATAGGAGTTATTACAGTGCATTTGGTTGACAAGGAAAGTATAGTTCAGAGAGGCTAAGCCACTTGCCTAAGATCACACAGCAAGGGAGTAGTATGGATGGGTCAGGTGAAAGTAGGGAGAGATGGATGCAAATCCATTCCAAGCAGAGCCACAAAGGCCAGGGGCTGAGGCAGGGGAGCAGAGGGTGTCACCAGTTGTGTCCAGGAGTTAATGTCACTTCCTAGGCTCAGCCCACCTGGATCACATTGCTGTTGGAGTTCTTGGAGTCGGCACTGACATAGACAGAGAAGAAGGGTGAGGTGCGGTAGTGGGCTGTGACCACCTGCAGCGTGTCCTGGAAGTTGTCCTTGGCCCAGGGTCCTGTGATATTCCAGCCTCCAAGCTGTGGGGAGAGAGCAGACAGGGGTGGGTGGTGTGTGTGCGCACAGGTGTGTGCCTGCGGTGAGCTGGCGTGAGAACACAGAGTAACATGTTCAGTCCTGGAGCAGTCCATCTTCTGCCCTTTTCTGCAAATGAGCAGGGTGATGCTTGCTGAGGGGTCTGTAAGGGGTCTGTGTCTGTGTGTCTGGGTACTTAGGGCACCATTCATCTTGGGTTTTTATTTTGTTGTTTTTAGGTTCTCTTTTACGGACAGGGTCTCAGCCCTGGCTGTCCTGGAATTCACTATGTAGACCTGGCTGGCCTCGAACTCACAGAGACCCCCTGCCTCCGCTTCCAGAGTGTTGGGATTAAAACCGTGTGATAACACACACGGCCACTTATCCTTAAGTGTGCTAAGAGCACACAAGGCTGTTACTCCCACATGCCTGGGGTGGAGGTCGGTTGAGACTCTGCCATGGAGACAGTTTCCTGAGTCAATGGGCATAGTGACATTAAAACATAATTCCAATGGTGTTTATGGGGAAAAGAATGAGAAGTCACAGTCGTCTTGCCTTAAAAACTGGTAATGAGCGCTTGCTCCACAAGCATGGAAACCCACACTGAAATTTCCAAAATAAAAGCTGGGTACATCATCTTGCAAGCCTATGACCCCAGTGCTGTCAGAAATGGAGGATTGCTGGGGCTTGCTGGCTGTCCCCCCAGCTCCATGTTCAGTGAGGAGACCCTATCTCAGGAGAGGACGGAAGAGAGTGACAAAGCAGGACACCTGATGCCATCCTCTGGCCTCCATGGGTCCAAATAAATACACATGCGTACACACACTCTCTCTACCATTGGTCCCCCTAGCTTGGCACATGCTGGCCCATGGGACCTGTGCAAGAGAGGAGGGACAGATACTGTCCCAGGTTCACCAATCCCGATGCAAGACCTTGCCCAAGGTGAGCTGAGAAGCGAAGTCCATGAGGGCACAGGGGTGGCTGGAAAACAGCCCCAGCCACCTCTGCCTGCACCCGGAAGTTCGGCTAGCTTTGGGCAACGCTCCTTGGAGGCCACCCAAGACTGCAAATGTGCTCAGGGCGGACTGGTTGGGGCGGGAGACTAGCGATGTAGCTTAGCGAGAGAGGACATGTCTCACATGCCCTGTGCTCGATCTCTAGCGCCACAGAAAACCAGGCACAATGGCACATGCCTCAGGAAGTCAAGGCAGCAAGATCAGAAGTTCAAGGACATCGTTGGCTACATAGCAAGCTATGTGACTCTGTTTCAAAAAAAAAAAAAACCTAAAAAGCAAAATGAGTGAAAGACTTAGTAGTAACTTCCTGCAGAGAGCTCTATCTGACTCAAACGACTAGGGTGCAGCTAGAATAGCACACCCCTTTACATCATATACATGGGACCGGAACAGCAACAGAGAGGACAGTTTTGAAAGTCCCCGCCTCCACCTAGACATACACATTCATCTCCCCCCCACCCCACTCCCCCTCCCATGCACTCACATGCTCAGGCAACCCCAACACCCACAGCAGTCAGACGGGCACCGAGCTCGGGCTGGGTGTGGTAGCTGGTAGTGTGAGGTGGCTGAGAACTGGGGTGGAAGCCAGAGGGCCTGGCAGGAGACTGAGCAGAGGGAGGCAGTGGGTGTCCACCCGAGCACCCACCTTCTCAATCAGTTCCATCAGGGGCTTGGCCCGAAGCTCCTCAATCCTAGTTTCGTTCATGCACGCACGGTAGTATACTTGGGCCTTCCTCTCTGCCTCACTCACGCTGGCTGTGGAATTTTCTAGAATGCCAAGAAATAACAGAGTTGTGTCCTGATCCTCAGCACTCCGGGCTGTCCAAAAGCACCATGATAATTACTGTCCATGGAGGAGAAGCCTTGTCCTAGGGTTCTATATGAGGACCTCTGGGCAGAGCTGATGAGACTAGAGGTACCCCTGAATTTTAGCTGACTGTTATCAAAAGTGTGTCCCGTGTTTCTCCTCTCTGCAAGATGGCCTTACAGACAACTCTCTGGGAAGGCACTGTGTGCTGTGCTGGATAGTTCTGTGTTAACTTGACACAAGCTCAAGTCATCTGAGAGGAGGGGACACTAATTAAGAAAACGCCTCCATAAGATCAGACTGTAGGCAAGCCTGTAGAGCATTTCCTTAATTAGTGATTGATGGGGGAGGGCCCAACCCACTGTGGGTTATGCTATCCCTAGGCAGGTGGTCCTGGGTTCTATAAAAAACCAAACCAAACCAAAACAGGGTGAGCAAGCCATGAGGAGCAAGCCAGTAAGCAGCACCCCTCCACAGCCTCTGTGTCAGCTCCTGCCTCTAGGTTTTGGCCCTATTTGAATTCCTGTCCTGACTTTCTTCAATGATGGGCTACAGTGGAAGTGTAAGCCAAACAGACCCTTTCCTCCCCAACTTGCTTTTGGGCAGTGTTGCATCACAGCAACTGTAACCCTAACTAAGACATGTGCCCACCCAGCAGGATGGCTGGTTCCCCTACCAGACAGCACACGGCCCTGAATCCCTGCCTGAAAGGTGGGCATCTTGCCATGGTTTTCAGATCCCAGATGACCTTGTCTGGGAGAAAGGCAGGAGTTGGATAAGGCTTGAAAGGGTTCATTCATTAGGAACTGACTTCCCACTTTCTCCTGTGAGGGCTAGATATGTTTGCCAGGCTTACAGAGGGTTCAAAGGGTTGTTTTCCACATCCCACCCCGGTGGCCCAGGCTGGGGCTGTATCTCATCCTACTGGGGGCGGGGTGGGCTCAGAGCTTCCTGGACGCCCAAGAGACTCCCTCCTCCTCTCCCCCTCCTCAGCTCCTGTGCTACCTGCCACCTGTTGAAGGCCACATGCCCGCACACGTGTGGCCTGGAAGGTTCCTGTTGCTCCCAGAGTAGTCACACCACTTGGTGCTGCTCAGGCCCTTGAGGGGACTGCTGTGCGCTAGAGCTGCTATGTCTGAGCGAGCACACATGCACACACGTGCACTCATGCACACATGCACTGGAGTCCGGCTTCAGGGTGGCAACTCCGAAATGCCGAGACCATTTTTTCCCCCTTTTACATTAGTCTCTGAAGCCCTTTCTTTGCTTTCTTCCAAGACCTCCCCAGCTCTTTCTCCCCCATGAACCAGTCTCTGGCGGGACCCTACGCCTCCACTCACTGGGCAGACACCATAGGTTCACTCTGGGCCACACACCATGTAACCACTGGGATACCAATGGCAAGGCCCCTGTTTCCCGGGGCTTCTGCACAAAACCCTGTGGAAGCCAGGTACAGCTCCCAGGTCTTCTCAGAGGCTTGCTGATCTGAAGCTTCACTCTAGGCCTTCAGCACACTGGGCACAGCCTGGATGCTGGACACCAGGTTGAGAATGAAGTTTTGCAGACAGACATGGGACCTGCTCCCTGACCCCAGACAGCTCATGATATGGACGAGGGACTGGGATGCACAGAGAAAAGCCTGCAGGGCACAAAGCACTTTAAAGAAAGTGATGGCTCTGGCTTCAAGCTGGGATGACTGAGGTGCCACTGTGCTCAGTTTATCCAGCACTGGGGTTACCCCCAGGGCCCTGCAATGCTGAGCAATGCTGGGCAATACTAGGCAAGCACTCTACCAACTAAGGTACAGTCCCAACTCTAGATGGTGTTCTGTGTGAGCTTAGTCTCAAAGATTAAAGGGAGCTCACAGGGTGGAGGAAGGGCCCTTGAGGGGAGATGCAGGAGAGGGGCACAAAAGGACAAGTCTGTGGAGGAGAGACAGCCCTTTGTCACAGGCAGGTCATGCCATTTCCTGGGAAGTCTTTTTAAAATTTGTGTGCATTGGTCTTTTGTCTGCATGTATGTCCGTATGAGGGTGTCTGGTCTCCTGGAACTGGAGTTATAGACAGTAACTGCCATGTGGGTGCTGGGAATTGAACCTGGGTCCTCTGGAAGAGCAGCCAGTGAGTGCTCTTAACTGTTGAGCTGTCTCTCTAGCTCCCCCTGGGAAATCTTAATCAGCGATGGCATCTCTCACCTCCAGAGTCCCCATCCTCACCAGAAATGGCACCAAAGCTGTCACTGATCAGTGGGTCCCGAGGGAAGGATGGGATGAAGCCTCTAGTAGAGGGAGCTTGGAAACACAAGAGCCAGAGTCTCAGGCTTGAGAGCAGAGCAGGGATGGGAAGGGGGAGTGCCCCACACCCCAGGGCCTCATCTCCATGGCAACGCTCCCACCAGCTCAGCTCTTAGAAGGGAAACAGAAGTGCCAGGTGCTGGCCAGGCCCCAGAAGCTTTCTCTCACCATCCACACCTGGCTCTGGCCAGCATCAGAGGCAGAACTCTGTGCTCAAAAATGAGCCTGGCATCTGATTTCCCCAGGGCTCCAAGGCCACAGAGATAAGAGACCTAAAGAGAAGCTTCCCAGGGACAGCATGGCTGTGCTCATCACAGTGTGTTCTGAGTTCCAGCTGGAGGCCACTGACCGGACACCCCCCACCCCAGCCCGCTCGCCCTGCCAGCACTGGAGGGAGAGAGAATACTTGCTTCACAAACGCCAGGCTTCCCTGACCAAGCTGGGTTTCTGTGGCCATGCTCAAGGCTCTCCCGTAGCTAATCATTTGGTTTCCAGGGTTGGCAGATGCTAGGCTAGGTGTAAAGGATGCATGGGCAGTGGGGAGACAGCCACCAAGCAGTGACAAGAGCATCTAACTGCATACTGGGATAGGGGCTGCATCCAGCCTGTGTCTGCCTCATGTCCTGTATCAGTCATCTTTGTGTCCCTGGGACCAGGCACACAGTAGGCCCTCGGCCACATGTGCTACAAGAACAGAGCTCAGTGTTCATGTAGAAAAAAGCAGAACATCATATCTGGGAGAGAAGGGTGGTAAGTGACGGGCTCTCTAGCAGGCCCAAGCATGGCAAACATGGCGCTGGCAGGTGTTACTCACCCCCACTTCCCTCTCTTTTGCCAAACAGTTAGATTATACTCCTAAAGCTAGCCCTCAAGGTCTATTCCCTTATTTGGCCACCGACCCCTTCCTGAGACTAAACACCAAGGCCCAGCCTTCAAACTTCATTATTTGGCTACAATGGCTGACCTGTCCAATCAGGAATTACCAACTCTCCCTAGCACAGACTTCCCTTTCTCTCCTTAAAACTCACTCCTGCAACAACAACAAAATGAAAACAAAAGAAACAAACCAAAAAAACAAAAAAAACCATCTGCTGCTGCTCCTTGCTGCCCGCCTTTATCTAATCTAGAGGCAGTGCCCCCAGTGCCCCCACCGCTTGCCCCTCCTGGGTAATAAATTCCCTTTGTGCTGAGAACCTGGTGTCTGGGTGTACCCTGTACCAACTCCAAGGGACAACCCATCCCCTACAATAAGGCCAGTTCCAGGCTGAGATCTATAAGGAGAGGAAGGTAGGCAGGACGGGCAGGCCTAATGGGGGATGGGTATTCATATCTCTGCCAGGTGTGTCTCACTGTGCGCCAGCCAGTGTTGACCTGGGGGTGGAGGCAGAAACTCAGGGACAGCCTGTGGCTCACCAGCCTCCTCTTCTCCTCCTCATTTGGGAGCAGCTACTACCTTTCATGCTCCAGAGGGACCTGAACTGAATCAAGTTAGCCATACAGAACTGGGGAATTGGCTCTGTTGGTAAAGTGTTGCTATGCGAGCATGAGGACCTGAGTTCAGATCCCCAACACCCACCTAAGAGCTGGGTCCAGCTGCACACACTTGTAACCCCAATGCTGGAGGGCAGGGGTGGGGGCATGGAGACAAGTGGATCCCTGAAGCTCACTGGCTAGCCAATCTAGCTGAATCAGTGAGCTCCAGGCTCAGTGAGAAATCCTGTCAAAAAAAAAAAAAGAGTAGAGAGAAGTTGATGAAAACATCTGCCCTTGCCCTCTGGCCTCCAAATGCACACTGACACACAGGAACACACCTGTGGGGGAGCACAAAGGATGGCTGCATGAGAGGTGCTTCCATAGACCAGGTGAACAAAGACAGGTCTTGGGCCGGAGGGTGGCAGAGGAGAGGCAGGAAGCACTTTGGGACGTGAAGGAAAGAGCTGCGCACTGGGCTCGGCTTCTTCAGCAGCTGCTACTACTGACTGGAATGTAAAGGCCAGGAGAAAACTCGGAAGAAAACGAGACCTCCAGGGCTCCAGTGGTGTGGAAATTGTTTAGCGGCATGGGACCAGACAACAGAGTTTCCAATTGCCTAGTTACTTCCTCCCAGGGACCCCCATGTTCCAGAAACTTCTACAGCCACTTCCCCAAAGTTCAAGAGAGGAGAGACAGCACACTGGTTAATCGGCCCTCTTTTTCCTCTGGGAGTTTTTCTTGGATCCCTTTCTCACATGCTGCTGGGGTTAGGAAGCAAACGCCCAGCAGCAGGGGGCTGAGATGGGCTGCAGTAACAGGGGGCCTGGGAATTCCACGGTCTCCCTGGCTGCCACGGCATTGTCTGGGTAGAAGTATGTGGGGCCTGGAGTCTCCGTTAGGGCAAGGCCAGTGTTTGTTTTAGATAAAACCACAGACTCAGTTCAGACAGCTCCAGGCCTCAAGAACTCCACACTAGTGGGAGAAGAGGGGCTGATAAGGAGGAGGCCAGCTCTTTATGACAATAGCATCCATACTTCCTGGTGCCGAGTGCAGGCTGGGCCAGGTCAGGCCTGTGTCTCATCATCACAGAGGGATGGATGAGGTGTTATCAGCCAAAGAGAAGGAAAAAGAGGCCGGGAAGGTGAAGGAGCCCGTTGACAAAGGCAAATCGACTAATGAGCCTGCTGGAATTTGAACCCAGGCATTCTTAAGCCTCCCTGAGAAAACTGTTTCTCTGCAGGTGGGTGTGGCCATGTGTGCAACTAGTCATAACACTCCCCACAAGTGGCTCTTACTTGGATCACACCTAATCTATAGGTAAGTGATTGGGGAAACTAGTCCTAGGTCACATAAGTAAGTGGCTGAGGCCAGGAGTGGAGTCCCTCTGCTTGTTCCTTCTTGCCAGTCAGTATGCTGAAAAAAACCAGGCCAGGAGACAGCCCCCCACTCCCACCACCCCCTTCCCTGGGAAGTCCTGCACCCACCTCCCTGCCTGAATTATCAAATCCACGAAAAGCAATCTACAGTGAAAGTACTCCAACTGCTGCAGGCACTATACCAGGGAAAGCCTTTGTAAGGCAAACAGAGGACAGGAAGAGGAAGCTGAGACAGTAAATATCGTGAAAACACAATCAAAATGAAAATGAGATGATATGGGATGATGCAATTCATGGCCAAGTCACCCACACGCACCCATTTCGTGAGACTGGAATGTTCTGTGTTCTCAGAGCCCTGGTATCAGGGACATAAAAAGGAAGGGAGATTGCTATCTCCCCCTACCCCTGCCTCATGCAGCCACCCCCCCCCCCCCCCCAGCTCTTCAACTAGGGGTGGAACCTGGGGCTTGTGCATGCCAGGCAAGCACTCTCCCCCTGAGCTGCCTCCCTAGCCTCGATAGCTGATTGTTCTTTATGAAATTTGTGCTACCTCAATCATCACAACAAGCTTACGTTAAGTATTTTAAGTATTTATCCTTGTTTTGCTTTTGAGTCTGGGTCTCATATAACTCAGGCTGACGTTGAGCTCAATATATATCAAAGGATGGCCTTGACCTCAATATATAGCAAAGAATAGCCTTGAACTCCTGATCTTCCCATCTCTGCCTCCAGAATGCCAGGATTACAGGAATGCACCACCATGCCCAGTTGTATGTTTCCATCTTATAAGATGCTGTAAATCTGAAAGGTGCATACACGCCAGTGTGGCTCAGGCCCCAGGAGGCCCTTTACTAGAAGACATAACAGGAAAATAGGCTTAAGAGAGTTTAAAGGGCTTAGAGATGACTCAGTGTCCTAGAAACATGAGGATCTAAGTTTGGAATGCCAGCACCCACATAGAAGCTGGGTGTGGCAGCTTAGGCCTATAACCCCAAAGCTGGGGGGATGGAGACAGGTCAATTCCAGGCCTTGCTGGTCAGCCAGTCTAGCATTAACAGTGAGACTAGTTTCAGATGGAGACCCTGCCTCAAAAGCTTAAGGTAGAGGAGCAACTGAGAAAGATAGTTAATGTTGACCTCTGGCCTGCACACAAATGTGCATGGGCAAACACACACACACACACACACACACACACACACACACACACACACACACACACACACCACACACACACACACACACACACCACACAAGATGGGGAGGGAAATCTCAGTGTGGAAGGGTTTGTGGGGCAGGCTTCTAGATGGTGAAATAATATGAGCTAAGCCCGGCTGGAAAGCCAAAGGCAAGGCCAAGTCTAAGGGCTGATATAAGCCAGTCACAGTAATCCTGGCACTTAGAAGTGAAGACAGGAGGGTGAGAAGCTGAAAATCATCTTTGGCTTCATAGGGAGTGCAAAGCCAGCAGACCTTAAGGAAGAGACCCTAAGGAAGGAAAGCAGGGAGGGAGAAAGGGAGGGAAGGTGGGAGAAAGGGAAGAAGGGAGGAAGGGAGGGAAGGAGGGAGGGAGGGAGGGCCCGCTCTGTTTCTCTGTCCCGCTCTCTGTTTCCCCACTCTGTCTCTCTATGGCGACCGGCCATGGCGGTCAGCCATTTACCCTGTTCCTCTTCTTAGTCTCCCCATTCTTCCAGGCCTTATAATAAACTTATAGTCAATATGTCTGTCTCAGCATTTCTCTTTTCTTCTTTTTAAACAAAAGAATAACAGGGAGGACACCGAAGACAGAAGACAGAAGACAGGGCCTATCAAGGCTACACTTGGAATTCATGTTACCATCTGTGCTGTTGGGCGGGCAGAGTCCTCACTGATACTCCAAGTGCCCCACTTTATCTCCCTACCTACCTGAGAGCCCCCACAGGCTACCTCTGGAGGTGCTGAGCACCTGCTGTGTTCCACTGCCTGCCAGCTCTTAGCTCCTGAGGCCTGCTGGCTGACCCTTTATCTTAGCTGAAACTGGCTGAAGGCCTGTACCTCCATGGATGCATGGTGAAAAACCAATTAAAAACTTAGCTCCTTGAGATACACCTAGTACCACCTTCCCTGACAGCTGGCCTGCATCATGCTGAGACATTAAGATAGTCTAGGATTTTACTGTCCTCTGATCGTTTGCCACACCCTTACCAGTGACCTATGTGAGAGTCCATGCTAGGGAGAAGCCAACTGCTTCCTCTACAGTCATGCAGTTTGCTAGGGAGGCGTCTACTTGGAATTCACACAAAGCCACCAAAGGGGCAGCTGTGTTTTGCTGAGCACTTTAGGGACCAGGCCCCAAGTTCAGTCTCTGAACCGCTGCATGCAAGTCAAAACTCATAGTAACCTTCCCTGTCGGATGGCACTGGGAGTCATGCTTTAGGGAGTTTGGCATAGGAGCAGCCAAGCTGGTCTGTAGGGAGCCTACCTGGCTCAGAACTCTGCAGTGTGGCCCTGATACCACCAGGCCCTGCTGTTCCCTATGCCAAGGTCTTGGCTGGTTGTTACTGCACAGGACAGAGTGGATAGAAGTCATAGCCCAGGGATGGAGGCCACTCCCCATGAACCCTGACAGCTTTGTGAAGTGAGGAACTGAGGGGTCCTGCTAAGAAGCTGCTGGGGACTGGGGGTGAGGGGCTGGGTAGGTCGTCTAGCAACTGTCCTGGTCTGAGGCTGGGGGTGGGAAGGAAGGGTACTGTGTCCTTAACCCACTTGCACCTGAAGGGCTTGGCTGCCTAAAAATCAGCTGTTAAGTTGCTATCATTTCCTATCTCCTGAGATGACTTACGTCGGTCGCGTAGAGAGGATTTGTCCTCTTTTAAGCGGCTACTTCTGTGTCACCTACTCCTCGGTACGTTGAAGAGCTTTAAAAAAACCTGACAAGCTGGCTATGGTGGCTCACACCTGTCATCCCAGCCCTCGGAAAGTGAAGGCAGGAGGACTGCTTCAAATCCAAGGCCAATCTGGACTATATAGGGAGACCTTGTCTCAAAAATCCAACCAACTGCCAAGACACAGTTAAGTATTCATGAACCTAAATTGTGTCACTGACAGATAAATTAATAGATGTTTCACTATCTGGCCCTTCCCCAGCTCTTGGAGTCTCCAGAGAGGGCAGAGGGCAGCAAGAGGAGGGCTGGAAAGGGCTTCCTGAGGTCGGTGTTTGTGGGACTTGCTGGGACTCCTGGTGGGGGCGGGGGGTGTGGGGGGCAGGATCTAATATATTAACCAGGAATACAGCACAAGCAGGACAGACCTGGGGTGGTCTAACCATGGACTCCATGGTCAGAGGGACTTTGAATAGTCAGGTGTCCTTCAAGGCTGATCACCAGCAGCCCAGGTGACTCCATCTATGGAGTGACAAACTCTCTGATAAGTTGTTATTTGTCATACTTTCCTTTCTTTCCTGTTTTTTTTCTTTTTTGAGATAGGCTCTAAAGCCCAGGTTGATCTTTTTGTTTGTTTGTTTGTTTGTTTTCTTTTGTTTCTGTTTTTTTTGAGACAGGGTTTTTCAGTGTAGCCTTGGCTGTCCTGGCACTCTCTCTGTAGACCAGGCTCACACAGACCCTCCTGCCTCTGTCTTCTGAGTTCTGGGATTAAAGGTGTGTACCACCACCTCCCAGCTTGCCCAGGTTGACTTTAATTCAACTTTTGATCTTCCTGCCTCCACCTCCCAAGTGCAGGCATGTACAGATACCACACCAGGTTTCACATGAGCTGAGGACTGACCCGTGGCCTTATGCATGCCAGGCAAACACTACCAACTGAGCTGTACACCCCACCCTCTCTGGCATCACCATTGATCAAAGTATACCATCTGATCTGGAGTGTCTCACCTCTGCTCCTTTCCCTCACAATACTGCAAACTCAGTCATGAATCTAAGCTGTGCCTTGAAAGCTTCGGCTAGAAACTCTGTGTACCCACTCAGTGCCAACTGCCTCACAAATGCTCTCTAGTGCTGCAAACTATAGGGCTACTGATCTCATGTCCCAAATGAAGAAACTAAAGCTCAGAGTTAACCAGCTCACTCGGGCTCACACAGTGAGGGACCTCGCCCTCCTCAGCCCCTTTGGTGGTCCCCCTGATTCTTACCCAGCAGATGCTTGATGATGGCTTGATTGTGTTCCCAGAGGTTGCTGAAGGTCCCCCAGCGTGAATGCCCATCGGGCACCGGGTTGGCCTTGATCCAGCCCCCACAAGCATAGCTGAAGAAGTCCTGGCAGGGGTCTACCGTGGGGTCCATGGAGTTTAGGATGGAGCTGGTCACTGAGACGCAGGCCTCACTCAGACATACTGGGGGTGTTCCTGAGGGTTAAGGATAAAAGGCCAATGAAAGGTGAGTAGCATAGGTGCCCTGGAGCCCTGGGGCCCAGGGGCCATAAGCCCCACCTACCCCTGACCTAGCTGGGTGGCTACTAGATCCCTCATGAGATGCAAACTCAGCAGATTGAGAGTTTCTTGGCACTTAGAATAAACTTCTGTTAGCTTCGTAAACTCCTTTCCGTGGTTTCAAAGAGCTCGGATCTAAGCCGATTTTCTCTCAGCAGCCCTTCCTCCATGAAGACTTCTGATCCTGATGCCAACAAATTCATTTGACTTTTCAATACAATTAACAATGAATACCTTCCAGGCTTGCTCTCCTCTGTCAGTGTGTGAGTGTGAGTGTGTGTGTGTGTGTGTGTGTGTGTGTGTGTGTGTGTGTGTGTGTGTGACAGAGAGAGAATATTATACAATGTGCATACATCATACACATGTGTATGTGTATTTACATACCATATATACATACACATTTATGTATACCCACATGAACACACACACACACACACACACACACACACACACACACACACACACACAATTAGGGCAGAGAATGTAACTCAGTTAGTAGAATCTTGGGTTCAGACCCCAGTACCACATAGAACAAAGCATGGTGGCACAGTAATCCTAACATTTGGGAGGTAGAGGGAGGAGGATCAGGAGTTCAAAGTCATTCTCAGCTGTAAAGAATTGCAGGAAGCCAGCCTGAGGTGCATGAGACCCTACCTCAAAACAAAAACAAAACAAAATTATTGTGCTATTGGCATCTGAGCTGAAAAGAACCTTCAAGTGTGGAGAATGGAGCCAGGGCCTTTCTTGAGAGCCAAATGCTCTACCACTGAGTCACAGCCCCTGGAGAGCCTTTCTGTGGCAGGCTTGACAGAGTCACTTACCGTAACACTAATCAAATCAGAGTCGCACACCCCAGTTCCTGGCCATGGGGAAGGCCCTTTTATATGGAGAAAGGGAATGTGTGTGTGTGTGTGTGTGTGTGTGTGTGTGTGTGTGTGTGTGTGTGTGTTTTTTGAAGGGCTATTCACCATTATGGCATAACTTCATATTGGGAAAATAGTACCTATTGTTTTCTCTCAGCAAACTGCAGGAAGTCTAGCCTGGCAAATCTTGACTGGAAATACCCAGAAGACAGACACTGAGGGGAGTTGGGTTTGGAAACAACATGAGAAGTTGAGTGGAGGTGGCACACGCCTTTAATCCCAGGGAGGCAGAGGCAGGCAGATCTCTGAGTTTGGACCAGCCTGGTCTACAGAGTGAGTTCCAGGACAGCCAAGGATAAACAGAACAGCCAAGGCTACACAGGAACACTGTCTTGAAAAACCAAAACAACGATAACAACAACGAAACCCAAACATCCCTGGCCCATCAGGAACTTAAAGTCTATGTGCCTGACTAATGAATGGTTTGGGGGACCCTGTCTGACTGATTGATATTTGGGGCCCTTTCATCTAAGTTCGATGTTCCTTGGAAACCTTCCCAGGCTCTCTTGTGTTGTGTTCCTTCCTGCCTTGGGCACCTGTCATCTGCACATCCTGCCCACCTCCCTAGAAGAGTAGGAACTTGTTCTCACTCATCCCGTCCAGCCTGTGCCTGGCACCCATTGCGGTTCAGTGAGTGTGTGTGGAGTGAACCACTAGCCTACTCAATGAAAGTGTTTGTGACCTGGTCACCTGCTAGAGAGGTGGCTAATATTCCTTTTTTGGGGGGACACACACGATCAGCTGAGAAGGCAGAAACCAGCTCAGATGTAATTTACTTACCTGACAGTACCCGGCCTTCGCACCATCCAAGATGCTTTAATCCCTTAAACACAATGTATTTATTGTGTGAGTGTGTGTGTAAGTGTATGTGTGTGTGTCTAAGTATATGTGTGTGTTAAGTATATGTGAGTGTGATAGTATGTGTGAGTGGGTGTACATATATGTGTGAGTGTGTGTAAGTATGTGTGAGTGTGTATGTATATATGTGTGTGTGTGTGAGTGTGTGTAAGTATATGTGTGAGTGTGTGTGTAAGTGTACTGTGAGATTGTGTGTAACAGAATGTGTGTGGTGGTCAGAGGACAATTTACGGGCATCAGTGCTCTTCTCCTTCTACCATATAGGTTCTGGGGATCGAACTCAGGTCATCAGGCTTGACAGCAAGTGCCTTTGCCCACTTAGCCATCTCTCTGGCCCTCAAGATGCTTTAAAATGCTTACAGAACAGAGCTAGGGAAATAGGTTAGTCTGTAACCCCAGAACCCATGTACAAATGCCAGGAGTGCCGGGCGTTGGTGACACACGCCTTTAATCCCAGCACTCAGGAGGCAGAGGCAGGCGGATCTCTGTAAGTTCGAGGCCAGCCTGGTCTCCAGAGCAAGTGCCAGAATAGGCTCCAAAGCTACACAGAGAAACCCTGTCTCGAAAAACCAAAAAAAAAAAAAAAAAAAAAAGAAAAAAAAAGAAAAAAAAAAAAAAAACCAAATGCCAGGAGTGATGACATACACTTGTAATCCCGATGCAAGCCGGTTGAGCATAACAGGTTGAGTTCCAGGTCAGTAAGAGTCACTATCATGACGGAGGTGAATGGCATTCCTAAGGATGACATCCAAGGGTTGTCATCTGGCCTATTCACACACACACACACACACACACACACACACACACACACACCAAAACCCCAAACAAACAAACAAAAAAACGAACAACAAAAACTTCCCGCTAAAGAGATGACTCAGTGGTTGAGAGAGCACTGGCTGCTCTTCAACAGGATCTGGGTTCAATTCCCAGCACCCACATGGCAGCTCACACCTATCTGTAACTCCAGATCCTAGAGTATCCTATTCTGACCTCTGCAGGCACCAAGCATGCATGAGATGCACAAGCACACAGGCAAAATGCTCAGACAGATAAATAAATAAACATTTTAAAGTATTAAAAAAAAAAAGACCAACATTCCTGGAAGAACCTTGTGTTGGTTTTGCTGCTGTTTGGAAAGGAGGCTTCAGAAGCAGGGAGGTAGGTCAGAATGTCCCCAGGGGCCCAGACGCTGCTTAGAGGTGGAGCTTCCAGAATCTGAGGAGCTGCTTTGCTTGGCCTGGTGTTTGCTCAGATGCGGCCAAAGTCAGGGCCTGCTGATGCTGATGGGTAATGAGGTTCTGCCAAGTCCTGAGGTGGCTGCTGCTTTCTCAGGTGGTACATGGATTTCCAGAGCTTTAGCCCAGCTCCACCCTAAAGCAAGAAGGCCATTCTATCCCAGGTCCAGGCTTGGAGGCAGAGAGAGGAATGGGACAGAGGCAGACACTGGAATCCTCTCCAGGAGCCCACCTGGCAGCAACAACAGCTGTGTGAGGTCTGGGGATCAAACTCAAGCTGTCAGGCTTGGCCTCAAGCACTTTACCCACTGAGCCATCTTGTCAGCCCCCACCTTGCTTCTTATTTTTGAGCTGTTCTTTGGGAGCATTTGTTGAGTCCTGGAGAAACTATTGGGGCTTCTAAGGGGAGCTCCAAGGCAGCATACTTGCTGGGGTCCAGCCTGCTCACCATTTCTGGGCCAAGAGTGGGCAGACAGTGCTGGGCCCACCCTGCCTGGCAGGATGCTCTGAATTGAAGCTAATTCAGGATGGGGTAACTGCAGAAAGAGAAATCTCTACTTTGCACACACTCATACACACACTTCCACAGTAAACAGAAGCCATTACTGTCGTCCTACTGAGACTACAGATGGCAGGCAGTCACGCTTTCACAGCAACAGAGCCAACGCTAACTGAAAAAGTCCTCAGGGACACCAGATACATCATCAGAGTCGTCCCTCAACTGTGCATCCCCTCCCCCATTTAGAGAAGGAAAAAAATGTAAGTTTTAGAAATGAAGGAGCTTGTCCAGCCATTAAGTTGCTGAACCAGGGTGTGAACTCATGTCCTTTTGGTTGTGTTGCTTTGTGGCAGGGTCTAATGTAGTCTAGAAAGGCTTTGAACTTACTAAGTGATCCAGGCTAGCCTTGAAATCCTGATTCACCTGCCTCAGCCAACCAGGGTATTGAGATTATAGACATGAGCCAATGCACCCAAATTTGTCCTTTTGACTTCAAAACCTTCATAGCGCCCATTCCACCCACCTCTTTGTCTGCATCCCGAGCCCCTAGGCATCTCTCTCCTTGGCTTTGGAGGCCAAGCCCAGCTTGAACGAGCTCCCCCACCTTGCACAGAGTGACAGAGTAGAAGGGAGCATGGTTAAGCCCGCCACAAATAACAGATGCACCTACTTTCCCGGTACTGGATGCCCAGGGCTGCCAGGCAGGTCACCAACCCTGCTGCCAGAAGCACCACCAGCACCACCAGCCGCTTCTCCACTGAGGTCCGAGCTGCCCAGCACCTCTGGCCACTCCGGGGGCTTCGGAAGTTCACCTGCAGGGAAGGAGGCGAGAGGGATGGCAAGACTGTGAGCTCAGGACCCCCCTTCCCCAAGAGGAAGGGGCTCTGCTGCAGGCCCAGACCCTGGGGAGGCATCAGGCTGCCCGTCTATCTCAGGGGTGGTCCAGTTCCCATAGAATCTGCCCTAATCCAGGAACAGAACTACCACCCTGGCCAGTAGCTTAGATTTGTTCTCAGACTTCACAACTAGCAGCTCAGCCCAGGAGGGCTTGCGTTTTCTGTGACACCGGTAGATGAAAACAAAACAAAACAAAACAAAACAAACAAAAAACTACAGCTTTCCCAGTTCTCCAGTCAGGAGCTCAAAAAAGAACAGGATGTTTGGCCTTGAAGGCATTCAGAGGGCGGCCAGCTGGGTCCTCCTCAGAGCTCCTCCATCTACAGAGCATGACCCCACCACAGCTCCTGCTCTCTACAAGTGGGGACACATTCGGCCACTAAGCCTTTCTAATCCCATCAGGGCTGCCTTGCTGCTTCTCTTTTTACAAATGAGGAAACTGAGGTTCCAAGTCACTTGTCACATAGCTGATGGGTAGGTCTGAGATTTGAAGTCTTCTGTAGATTATAGAGCCCACCAACGGGCCAGAGACATGGGTCTTAGGAGATGGTGGGGGGAAGACAAGAGGAGACATAGCTCCATTTGGGCAGGTCTTCTAATGGAGGAAAAATGTGCCAGGCCCCCACAGTCTGGCTAAACAGGAAAGGAGGTACAATGAGGGGAAGTCGAGGGTGTGGCAGGCCCTTGGGGGCAGGGGACTCGAGGCGGGACATGCCTGCCAGCAGCACTCAGGGCCCTCAGCCCACACTCTTCTTCACACCCAAAGCCAGCACAGGGGTGGGGGGGGAGGTCTCTTCTGTTCCAAGAGGTACTTCCTGCAAAAGCCAGGAGGGGCATAGACAGGAAGAGTCCCCAGAAGGTGGGGCTGTTCAGTGACATCACCCTGTACAAACAGCTGGGCACCAATTCAAGGGGGAGAACTGGATTCCTTTGCTTACAGTGAAGAGGGGAGGCAGGTGATGAACAGACAGATGGGTGGACATGGAAGGCTTCCTGGAGGAGGTGATATCTGGGTTGGGGGTGGAGACAAGATGGCCAGGGGTGCAAGGCATAGTTCTGAGAAAGAAAAGGAACTTCCTCCAAAGGACTGGCAAGAGATGTCACCATACCTGCCCTTTGGGGTGGCAAGGAGGAGGGAGAAATGCTTACAGGGAACAGAAGAGGAACAGGAATCCTTAAGAGGTTCCCAGCATACCAGGGGATCTAGGGATACCCAACTCTGTCTCACTGAGTCCCCACAGAGCTGTGCAGGGACTGCCCCCAGAGCAGGTCAGAGCCAGAAGGCATCCCACAACTGGCACATGAGATCTGAGATGGGTCACCTTTGGGAAGGGTATCTTGGCCATCCTGGGATACCCCTGGGTGCTAAAAGAGGAAGAGGAACATGGGGACTTCTTATGGAAGAAAAACTGGGATCAAAAACTGTAAAAAGGATGCTGAGAACTGGGATACTCCCTGACTGCCCAGGAGGTGTACACCCCATGGTGGTGGCCAGGTGATGGTGAGGTGGCCAGGAGGTGGGGGGTGGCTGCCTGAGGAGATCCTCTAGGCTTTCTTAAACAGGAAGAGGTAGAGGTTTCTGTCCAGGGTACTCTCACCTGTTCAGAGACAGCCTGGGACACATGCTCTCGTGGACACAACACCCTTTGGCCATCAGTTATCTCACTCAAATTTATCTCGGGTTCTGGTACACAGAGAAGCCCCTAGGGCTTGAGCCAGGTATAGCCTTGCCTGGGGACACTGACATCAATATCCCTTCCCATGGCTGTCCTTCTGCTCCAGGACTCATCCCAGTCTTCCTTCACCATCTCGTGGCCTCTCCTGCCTCACAGTCACGGCTCAGTTAACAGAGCTTAGAGGCAGGGAGACCCCAGTTTAAGAGGCCCCCTCAGCTTGGTGCCACTCTGGGGAGCTGGTGGGACAGACTGTACAGCTTGGAGGGAAGTAGGGAAACTCCACCTCATGGGGACACCAAGATGCTGTGGTGAGGGGAACAAGGAGGCAGCCAGGTGCAAAGACATCAAGGAGGTGAGAGAGAGGGAAAAGGGGAGACGACAGATGCCCTGCCCCCCCCCAAGACAGGCAGGCTGGGACATCATTGCTTCTTGTCAAGCTAAGTGTTTAATCTAAATAGATGGCATCCACTGTGAATTAAATTAGAATTAAGACAGAATTGAATTAAAAAGCCACAGTTCCAAGTAAGAACAGCAAACGGGATTTGAAAATAGGATCATTAACTTTTGTCATGTTTATTGCTTGACTTTCAAGGCTGGGCCAAGCACTTCTAGGTTTTTGGACAAGCCTTGTCTCTGAGGGCAAAGGGAATTTGGAGCAGCTCTTGGGTGTAAGAGTCATTTGGAAGTTCTGGGCTGGGAGCAGCAGAAGCTGGGGCAAATCACAGTATGATGGGTGGGTCTGGGTGGTATTAGGGTACTACTCTGTCCCCTTTCTCTGAGCTCCCAATACATGTGCCCTGAAGAGGATCCCATGAGATGAGGTGATGACATGAGGTGTTTTCATGCTTTCTTTTAGGAACGAGGACATGCCAATCAAAGGAGACCACATTGTGGCCACTTGGAAGGCAGGAGGATTAATTTCCAATAGCTCAATCCATTTTGGGAGAGGTGACTGAGGAATGGCCATTGGCCAAGTAACAGAGCTAATACACTGTGGACTCTCAGCCCGCTGGCCAGCTTAGCATCCTATTTAACATTGTGAGGTAGAGACAGAAAGAGAACAGGAGAGACAGGGATGCCCTTCCAAGAGAGAAGGGGAGGAAGAAGAGGAACACAGAGAGGAAGGAGCTCGAGATGGCAGCAGAGAGGGAGAGACAGGGTGGGAGGGAGAAAGCAGAGGTGTCCAGCCCTGATGTTCCCAGGGTTTGCAGAGCACAGGAACAAAGCCTATTATAAGCAGGGATAAATATTCAGTTACAGAAGTGAGCACCCGCCTCACCTAGGCTTGTAGCAAGAACAAGTTCTGCAGGTGAGGAAAGGTGCCTGCCCTGGGGTCCAGGAGAGGAGCCAGTAGTCCAGGGGTGGGAACTGGGCTAAGCCTGCTTTCAGAGTCTAAGGGCCCCCATCAACCTGGCTTCACGGAGCCAACAGGGGCTGTCTGCCAAAGCTCTGGCAGGGAGCCGACCCCTTACAGAGGCTCAGCGTCATGACGGCTGGCAGGAAGACTAGGCTCTCGGTCGCAGACTCAGCCTTTCAGAGCAGGCAGACCATGACAGCAAGGGGGGGGTGCTGCCTTCATGGGGGGATCACTTTGGGGAAGTTCCTTCCAGTAAAGTTTCCATGAGGTAGACTTCCGGCTGAGGCCCTGAGAGCAGAACTATGAGATCTTCCCAACTCTTGCCCGAATCCCACATGCCATGCTCCTCCATGCCTGACCTTGAAGAGACTGGTGACAGCTTAATAGCTCCTCCTGTGGGAGTAGACTCCAGAAAACAAAACAAAACAAAAAAATCAACCTTTAAGAGGGATCACAGTCTCAGGAAATGTGTGTCTTCCCAGAAGGAATAGGCAGCTCTCCAGCATGACGGAAAGGAGGTCAGCCAGGACCCCAGGGGGTCCAAGGCAGCCTCCGAGCCTGTCTCCCAACTCTAATACTAGCAAGCTGGGGTGAAGTCCCCAGGTGTGACCATGTCAAAATCTAGAACCTGCTGGCCAAGAGCCTTACACTGTAATTGGTGGACAGAGCTGAAGGTCCCTCCCGACAAGGGGGAAGTTGTCTGGAGTCTTAAGTAGGTCTCTCCTTCAAATTATTCTCTAAGGCAGCCCTGTGCAGAGGGCGGAGCATCAGGGTTCTGAGATTTTTGTATCCCAGCTTCCTTTTCTTACTTTGTCCCCCCAGAAGTAAATGGATGCTTTTCAAAGACTTTGGTAGGCTAGCTGTGGCCAGGCCCCCAATGCTGACTGCAAATATAATCTCAACTATTTTCCTTCAAGCTACTGCAATTGGTATTGGTGTGTGTGTGTGTGTGTGTGTGTGTAATGGGGTACCAAGTAGCTGCCATTGACAGAGCAGAGCTTTGGAAGGAAAACGTTATACAGGCACATCAAGGAAGTATCAGGCACAGTAAGGTTCTGTGACAGCTAAATTCATTTTCAGAGCATCAGGCATAATGCTTTAAAAAAATCAATATTGCCTCATTTGAATCTTAGCTCTAAGAGGTGGGTTGCTGATAAATGACCCATCTTGTAAAGAAAGCTGTATGACTGACGTGCTTTTGGGTCCCTAAGGCTCCTGACAGACAGAGCTGCATGGCTTTAAACTTGTGCTTAGAGGGCTGGGACACGGAGCTGAGCAAACAATAAGCCCGGGGTTTGGTCTCCAGGACTGCATACAACTGTAATCCCAGCATTTGGGAGGCAGAAGCAGGTGGATCAGAAGTTCAAGGTCATCCTCAGGGTCACAGTAAGTTCATGGCTGTTCTAAGCTATCTGATACCCTGTCTCAAAAACCATCAACAAAAACAAGAAACAAAACATGAACATACAGGCCAGGTGTGGTAGTGTGATTAGGAGAAAAGTGGGGTGATTTCAAGTTGAAGGCTCAGTTGAGATTCTATCTCAAAAAAGTGTGAGTGTGTGTGTGTGTGTATTCAAATGTAAAATACTAGATTCATTATTTCTAAGTGGAATTAGTTTGCTTCTAAAGCCTCCCTATGTACATGTGCATATTGTTAGGGAATCAAATTCAGGGCCTTAAGCATGATAGGTAAGCTCCCTAGCGTTTATTTATTTATTTATTTATTTATTTTTTCTTGGACAGGATTTCTGTATACCAGGCTGACCTTGAACTCAGAGAGTCATCTGATTCTGCCTCCTGAGTAGTGGGATTAAGGCCATGTGCCCATCTACATTTTATTCTTTTAATCTGTAAGTAAACATGTAGAGCATTTATATTGAATAATAACCCAAGAGACTTAGAACACTAAACTATTAGAAGACTTAAGGTTGCAATATAGCTAGGCCTGGGAGTACATAGTTGTAATCCTAGCACTGGAGGCTGAGGCAGGACGACCTGAAGTGGGGGGGGAGCTTGGGCTAGAGGGGGGGGGG